TGTTTACAAGTTCACTCAACATTCCAAACTATTTACTAGAGTCTAAAATCATTTGTTTTTTTTTTGGGCAGATTGCTCTTAAACTAGTACGCGAAGGGGTAGCTAAAACGGTTACGATTGATGAATCAAACCTTGCAGAGTATGCAGGCAAACCAGAATTCTACAATGAGAAAATATATGAACATACACCAATTGGGGTTGTAATGGGTCTAGCTTGGACATCCTTGGGTGGCTCGATATTGTATATAGAGACAACCATTGTAGAAGAAGGAGAAGGCAAAGGTGGTCTTCGTTCAACAGGTCAGCTTGGAAATGAGATGAAAGAAAGCATAGAGGTCGCTCACACGGTCGCTAAAAAATCATGCTAGAGAAAGATCCCAAGAACCCGTTCTTTGCGAATTCCAAGCTTCATTTACACGTTCCCGAAGGAGACACACCAAAAGACGGTCCAAGCGCAGGTTGCACCACGATCACTTCGTTGCTATCACTTACCATGAAGAAATCTGTAAGGAAAGATCTTGCAATGACCGGAGAAGTTACTTTAACCGGTAGAATTCTTCCAATTGGCGGGGTAAGTCTCTCACACACACTACAAATACTATGTTTTAGCATTTTAATTATGTTCATAATAATGATACAAAAAATCTCTCGCAGGTTAAAGAGAAGACTATGGCTGCAAGGCGGAGTCAAGTGAAGATGATAATATTTCCCGAGGCTAACCGTAGAGATTTTGATGAGCTCGCAGAAAACGTGAAAGAAGGGCTTGATGTTCATTTCGTTGATAAATATGAACAGATCTTCGAGCTAGCCTTTGGCTATATGTGCCCATTAGAAGAAGTTTCATGTTGGGATCTTCCCCTATGGTTGTTGTCTTCACTAAAATATCTTTGTCTAGCTCTTCTTTACCACAAGATGAAATATATTATTTTTCTACTAATTAATGTAATTTATTTTTGAGTATACAAATCAAAACCTTAATCATGAAACATTTTATTGTTAAGTCAAAAGGTTCAAAGAATCCATTTTTTCAAAGTTTACAACGAACTTTTGCGAAATCTTTGAGATGTATACATACATAGAACGAAAAAAAAAAAACATACTTTCACCTTCTTGATCGGAGGCTCGGAGCATTTTTTCCCGGTTCGGTTTAGCTTTTCCCGGTTTGGTTTAGTTTTGAGATATACACAATTATATTACATGGACTTACAAGGAAACGATGCCGTTTGAAGGTACTGGTGGCTTTTCCTTTTCCCCGAAATACGAATTTTTTTTTCCTTTTTGTTGACATCTTCCATTTTCTTCAATTTTTGTAAACTGACATTTTCCATTTTTGTATTCTTTGGAAAAGAGTTTATGGAGAGCTTTGAAACCACTCTTCGTCTTCATACTTTCTTGCTTCTCAGGCAAATCATAACCCTAATTTCCCGAATTCGCTTCCTCTCCCGTCATGCTAAAGCTCCTTACTTCGACCGCTTACGGTGCTCATCACTTCAACCCTGCTATTCGGGTCGGGTTAAGCCCGGTTAATACTCCACTCTTCAGGTCACTGAGTCAGCTAACCGAATGGAACCGGAGTTCCCACGAATTGGGTCGTCGTGCTTTCTCCTCCGTTCGCATTGAAGTTGCGGCAGCTGATTCCGGCACGAAATCGTCGTCAGTGATTGTCTCAACTAAACCTAGCCGCCTCGAAGATTGTCTAACGGTTTGTAGAAATTTTATTACTTATCATTGGTTTAAGCTTTGATTTGTTCATAGATCATAGAGAACTCAATTCAATTGGTAAATAAAGTATATTATGGTTCCTTAATAAAGTTAGATTTTTTTTTTTTATAGAAAAGATCAGTGTTAAGTTCAAAAAAAGAAAAGAAAAGAGAGATCAGTGATCTGAGATATAGTATATAAGCTTATGTAATTGCGTTTTAATTTCAGACTATAGCATTGCCACAAAAGCCTCTTCTTCCTGGGTTTTGCATGTCAATCTATGTCAAGGTATGTTACATTTAAAAAACTAGTTTTGGAAATTTATGTCCATTAAAATTATACTGTGTGTTTCTTTTCTCAGCTTGCGTTTTCTTTGTGTAGGATCCTAACGTACTTGCAGCTTTGCAAAAGAGCAGAAGACGAGGAGCTCCATATGCAGGGGCTTTCCTTTTGAAGTATGAAGCTTCATCTGATAAAGAGATTATTGTAGAGAAGTGGGACAGTAATGGAAAATCAAAAAGGAAGAAAAAGCAGTTGCTTAAGCTTATTCACGAAGTTGGCACACTTGCTCAGGTACCCTCTTGCTGAACTACTTAGTCTTTGTCTCTGTGTTTGTGTGAAAGGCTTGACCATTGCCATTTTTTCTAGATTTCAAGTATCCAAGGTGATAACGTCATCCTTACTGGTCTCAGACGACTTCGAATGATAGAGTTGGTAAGTTATTGAAGAAAGGGGATACAATATTTTTCTTTTAAAAGGATTAAAGTTCATGCAAAGTAAAGATTTTCTGTGTGTATATGGTTCTCTCAGTGGAAAAAAAAAACATGTCCTTTGTTTTTGTATAGGTGAGTGAAGAACCTCTAACCTTCAGAGTTGACCATCTAAAGGTCTGTTTCCTTTTAAGACACATGGTTCTTATTTCCTTCTGAAATTCCGAAATCTATAAAACTTGTCTTGTGTTTCTTTGTTATTTAGTTGCAGGATAAACCATATGACAAGGACGATGATGTCATCAAGGCAACATGCTTTAAAGTTATTTCGACGCTTAGGGATATCTTAAAGACAACTCCACTCTGGAGAGATCAAGTTCAGACATATACTCAGGCATGTTCTCTTTATATCTGTCACTGCTTGCGATTGCAAAATATGTAAGAAATTAGAATATCAGTATCTTAGTAGATTCCTTTTGAATTTCTATAGCCTATAGGTGACTTCAACTATCAACATGTAGCCGATTTTGGAGCAGGGATCTCTGGCGCTGACAGACATCAAAGTCAGGAGGTTCTTGAAGAACTGGATGTAAGTAGTTTAACTATTTAGTCTATTACTGTGATGTTTTGATTTTGAGATTAACTCAAACATGATGATATTCCATTCTTAGGCAGCTTTCTCATATTGGTTTCTTCGATCCAGGTTCACAAGCGTCTGGGATTGACACTGGAATTGGTGGAAAAACAAGTGGAACTTAACAAGATTCAAGTACTAGATTTTTGTAAATGATTGCTTTATAAAGTGTTGTATCATTGGTTAATGACTATTTGTCCCAACGCAGGAGCTTAAGGCAGAGGCAGAGGCAGACAGCGAGACAAACAACAAATCTTCACCTTCTGGTTAGTACTACAATAGCCTACAGGAATATTTTATTCAGAGAGATTCAAACTTCCAGATTGCTCCTCTGTGCATCCATGACGCTTACCTTTCTGCAGAAAAGTTTAAGAAAAGGATTGACACCAGAAGAAGAGCTTATTTTCCAAAACATGTACTAAAGGTCATAGAAAAAGAGCTTACAAAACTGGAGCTGTTAGATGACGAGTCAAGAAATTTCAGCGTGACTTGTAACTACCTCGATTGGTTGACCGTGTTGCCTTGGGGAAATTTCAGGTTTGCTATCATGTTCATGTCTTGAGGAGAGTTATAATCAGAAAAAAATGTAGATTGTTAATTGATTTATTTGTGTTCACTGGTTGAGAAGTCTCATTATAATCATAATGATTTTGGTTTGCAGTGATGAGAATTTTGATGTCCTAAGGGCAGAAAAGGTTCTTGACGAAGATCATTACGGATTATCTGATGTAAAAGAAAGAATACTAGAGTTTATTGCTRTGGGAAGACTTAGAGGCACTTCACAAGGTCGTATTCTTTGCCTTTTCTGTACACTATTCTTTGTTTAAAAGATTTGTGAAACTGAAAGTTTGTAAAATGTATCAACAGGGAAGATCATTTGTCTCTCTGGCCCTCCTGGAGTAGGTAAAACTAGTATTGCGCGTTCAATTGCACGCGCTCTTGACCGCAAGTTCTTTCGGTTCTCTATTGGAGGAGTGACTGATGTTGACGAGATTAAGGTATAATACATGACAAAACTATAATTCGAATCTGTTAATCAAACATGTATGAATAATATTATACATTGTCTAGGGGCTTCGCCGATCATATGTTGGTGCCATGCCTGGAAAGATGGTGCAATGTCTAAAGATTGTGGGAACAGCAAACCCTCTTGTTCTGATCGATGAGATTGATAAGGTAACTTAGCTTGTTAGTATTTGAATTGGCTTTTTGGAGTTTGTATGCAAAAGGTTTTATTAAAGCAATAATTGTCTACTGTTCCTTGGCAGATTGGAAAGAAGAGCTCAGGCGACCCATCTAGTGCGTTGTTGGAGGTTATGGATCCAGAGCAGAATGCAAATTTTCTAGACCTCTATCTCGATGTTCCTATAGACTTATCAAAGGTTTTTTCTTTTTATTTCTTTGTGATCCATCATATTTAAAGGAAACTTTGTGCATTGATATTTCATAATAGACAGTTTTGTGTTTAAGGTAAGGTCTAAATTAATTTATCGCAGGTTTTATTTGTATGCACAGCAAATAATATATATAAGATTCCGGGTCCTCTACTAGACAGACTGGACGTGATTACTCTCACAGGGTATGTTACCGATGAGAAAATGCATATTGCTAGACACTATTTGATGAAAACCACATGCAGAGATTGTGGCATTAAGCCTGAACAGGTCTCACTCGCAGCCATTGGTCTTCATTTTCGTGTCCCATTTTCTGTTTTTAGCCTATGAGATATTTTCTCAAGTTGTTTGTACTCTTACCAGGCTGTTGTGAGCGATGCAGCTCTTCTTTCGCTGATAGAAAACTACTGCAGAGAAGCAGGAGTTAGAAATCTCAAAAAGCATATTTAGAAGATTTACCGTAAGGTAAGTAGCTACAAAGTCACATACCTTTTGCGAGTCTCAAACTATTTATTAGAGTCCCCAAGATCTAAATTATTTGACCTTTTTGACAGATTGCTCTTAAGCTAGTACGCCAAGGAGCATCTGCGGAAGCGCCTGCAGCTTCGGTTGACGTTAGTGATGCTAAATCTTTGGCCAAGACAGATTCAGAGGTTAAAAGAATGACATTGGCTGATATTATGGAATTACTCGAATCAGCAACTCGGGATCCTTCAACAGAATCAAAAACTAAGCAGAGAGGAGGGGTAACTAAAACGGTTGTGATTGATGAATCAAATCTTGCAGATTATGTAGGCAAACCTTTATTCTACGCAGAGAATATCTATGAACAGACACCAGTTGGGGTTGTAATGGGTCTAGCTTGGACATCCATGGGTGGATCGACATTGTACATAGAGACAACCTTTGTAGAAGAAGGAGAAGGCAAAGGTGGTCTTCGTACAACAGGTATGCTTGGAGACGTGATGCAAGAAAGCGCACAGATCGCTCACACGGTCGCCAAAAAAATAATGCTCGAGAAAGAACCCAAGAATCCGTTCTTTGCAAATTTCAAGCTTCATTTACATGTTCTTCCAGGAGCCACACCAAAAGACGGTCCAAGCGCGGGCTGCACCATGATCACTTCGTTGCTATCACTCGCCATGAAGAAGCCTGTGAGGAAAGATCTTGCAATGACCGGAGAAGTGACTCTAAGTGGTAGAATTCTTCGAATTGGCGGTGTAAGTCACACACACACACTACAATTACACTGTTTTATATTTTTCGTTACACAATTTTAATCAATATTCACTATAATCTCGCAGGTGAAGGAAAAGACTATAGCTGCGAGACGGAGTCAAGTGAAGATGATAATCTTTCCTGAGGGTAACCGTAGAGATTTTGATGAGCTCGCGGAAAACATGAAAGAAGGGCTTGATGTTCATTTCGTCGATGAATATGAACAGATTTTTGAGCTAGCCTTTGGCTATGACCATTAGAAGTAGTCTCACTTTGGATATTCCTCTGTTGTTGTTTTCACTAAATGTATATCATTGATAACTTTATTCTTTAGGCTGATTTTTCTCTAACTCTTCTTACCACAAGATGAAATGTACAAGAATAAGGGATTCTGTAATCTTTTTTACTGATTAAGGTAACTAACTAAATTTGAAATAACATATTAATTTGGTAACTAACAAACTTGGAAATAAATAAATAATTTTTTTTTTTTTGAATAATACACATTCTGGCCAATAAAATCATTCTAACAACTCATATATGTATATAAACAAATCATATGCAAGAGTTGGAAAACCTTGTAAACTCGTAAAACTTCTCCACTACAATGGACATAGGTATTATGTGCTAATCTCTTTTTCAGTGATTTATTATGTGAATTATTATAGATTTTTAAACATGGATAATATGCTTTCTAATCGTGTGATATACACAACTCTTACTTATATTTCAATCTCCTAGGTTCTTACAACGATTATATATACTGATTACGAATCCACAAAGAATGATGCTTAAGTTTAGTTTCACGATTAATATTCAGAACTAGTGGTTTTAACTTGTAACAAAATACGTTTTTTTTTTTAATTTTTGTTTCTAATTAATTTGATTATTTGGAAGGTATATCGAAGGGATTTGACACCAGTCTTGTTCGTCTACGTTCTTCACCTTCGTATGGTTTCTTGCCTCTGAGGCAAAACGTAACCCTAAATTCCCGAATCTTCTACACAAGAGCTTCCTCTTATGGTGCCCATCTCGTGGCTTCGGCTATCCGGGTCCGGTCAAGCCCGGTTAAGAGTCCTCTCTTCAATCAGCTAACCGGATCACTCAAATTTGGTGCGGATTTCTTATCCAAGGCAGCTGGATCGTCGGCGATTGTGTCAACTAACCCTAACGTCGAATATTGTCCAACGGTTTGTAGAAATTTTTATTCAAGTTTGGGA